GGATTAAAATTTCCCCCCCCCCCCCCCCCCAGACCGATTTTCAAAGCTCGATCACTCCGCAGGAAAATCAGTGACGGTGTGCCGAAAATTGCGACGTTCGAACCGTCTCGGCCAGAGAGCTTTCCGAAAACATGGAGGAATCAAGCTTTGAAAATCGATCCTGGCGGCGTGGTATCTTACGCTACCTACGGTAAATTGGAGCAGCTACAGCAGTAGTTCTCCATCCATGCCACACGTCTCACGGGGTCGCGCGCTGTTTTGACCCAACGGCCTTTCCCCCCTCCAATTAGACAACGCTGTTGTAGAGCGCTGGCGGCGCAGGAAACTCGAGGCTTGTTTGCGATGGTTTTTTTCTCTGTTCGTCACGGATTTTTTCTTTGTTGTTTTACGATGGTTTTGTTTCTTTGTTTCCCATGGGATTGACACTCCCGTCTTGGAAACGCTGGGCCCCAGAGAGACTTGATCGTGCTCCCAGATTATTGAATAACCTTCCCCGCCGCCCTCCTCCTCCCCCCGCCCCTCTCTCACCGCCGCCAGCATCGAAGCTCTCCGTTCCTTGCCTCCCCCGAAGGCGTCGAGGATAACGCGTCTTCGGGTCGGGGTACAAGCGGAAGGGAAACAAAGAAACCTCGGAAAAATAACTACAGAGCGTGAGAGCTAATACGACGGTGGTCTGCTTGACGTTGGCTGGCTGAGACTTGGAGGAAGGGAAGGGTTGCAGGGGGGCTTGAGCGGTTTCGCTCCGAGAACCTCCGTCCCGTCCCGTTCTCAGGAACGGTTCTTGGGAACGTTATCCGGAACCAATCGCCGTGGCGTGGACTATTCTCCGGCGGGGCGTGTTTTTAGCTGGAATTTCCTCTGGGTCGCGGCGACTTGTTGTCAGAGAGCTGAGAGGCAGCGGCCGCGTGAAACACCAACGAGCGCAAGAGGGAGAGAGAAAGAGGCAAAGAGAGGAGGGGGGTATCAGGCAGCACTGAGCGGAGGGCCGGCAACCCGATCCCTCCCCCCTCCGTACCCGCTCAGGTTTTAGTCGGCCTGTGAGCAGCACTGCTGCTGCTGCTCCTCCTATTGGTCGTGGCGCCGCAAAAGGCGTGTCGTCAATAAGTAGACGCGTGTGAACGCGCAACGGTTACAACAACAGCAAACGACAATGAAGAAG